TTATTTATTATTTATTATTTATTATTTATTATTTATTATTTATTATTTATTATTTATTATTTATTATTTATTATTTATTATTTATTTATTTTTATAAAATTTATTGGCCACCTATCTTACCATTACTCTGAGCGGCTTACAATTACATCTAAGTTAAAATATGAAAAGTTAAAATCAAACATTAAAACCAAGGACACATAGGGAAGATGGGGGTGGTGGAAGGGGGAGAATGGGATATTTTATTACTCAATCAACCACCTCCACTGCGCTGTTCCCCCACTGGGGCCCCAGGCACAGCCATGTCTGTAGGCCCTTATGGAAAGATAGGAGGGTTGGGTCTTAGCAGTATTTACATTTAATGTGTTTCCCTGAAAATAACACAGGGTCCTATTTTCTTTTAACCTCGAAATAAGCCATTGGCCTTATTTTCAGGGAGGGCTTTTTAGTTTTGAGGTGCAGAAGGCGGTAAGTGTGGTCATCTCATGGCTGCTGCTGTGTTGCAATATTTTCAGGGAGGGCTTATTTTAGCACATGCAATCAAAAACCCGATTGGGCTTATTATATGGGGAGGTCTTATTTTCGGGGAAACAGAGTATTTGATCAATTTTGGTAAGGCAATCACTTGTTATGATGGATAAAGAAGTCATATATCTATTGAGAGAAATATAGAGTGCTTTAATCCACTTTCTGTTCTTCATGTCTTGGACACAGCGTCAGAGAGGCAGATTACAGGACCAGAAGTTGAGAGGAACATATAAGAACTGTTGTTCCTCTATCTCCCACTACCACTTGTCTCTAGATTGCAAGGTGACATCCTTTCACTTCCCCTCCCCCCTCCTGCCCACACAGCTCAGGACAACACAAAATAGCTGCTTTTACACATTGCAGTGAGAGACAGGAGGTCAACACGGGCTTAACACAGTCCCATAGCAACCCAAGATGATACCATCAAAATTGTGTGGGAAAATGGGTTGAATTTCACTGATATTGGGACATGGTTTTTTTTTCCAATTCAGGTTTATTTCATAATTAAGGGTGGAAATATAAGAAATCTAATCTAGCTTCATTTGTGGTGCAAACCCAGCCAATGAGGTTTGTTTCGGATCACCCCATCTCAGTGTAATATGAAATGAATAAACTTTCTGAACTAGTGTTCCCTTTCCTGCTGTAAATTCAAACTCATATCTTGCTTGTACATCTTAAGTGTGTTACGAAGGGGCCATATTTTGATACAGCAACTCATCTATTGCAAAAGTTTTCTTGTTTATCCTGCTGGCTGTTATCACTGCTTAGGAAATTATAATGAAACACATATGATATCTTCTCCCTTAGACTGCTCAGAGGAAACAGATAAAACGTGATGATAGGTATTATCCCAAGGGAGGACAGACAAACTACAAGCTGGTTATTATTCAAAGGTGGTTAGTATAAACACTGGGGATCCAAAGAAAATCCTATCCATGAGTTCCATCAACTCTTGTCTCTTTGGCAATAGAGATGCTCTACATGTAAACACCCAACAAGGGCTTCACTACATGCAAAGATCCTGATATTCCTTTTCAGGGAGGAGCATCTTCATAAATAGGAAGTAGAACAGCTTTGGCCTATTTTGAGACTCTAATGAGACATATTATCATGCTGTGCTAAAGCCTTATCATGTTAGATTATTCAAAATCGAGTGCAGGAAGATAACTTTGCATTTGCACAGTTTGATTTATTGAAATTAGACACCATCGGGAGCAGGAATGTGCTGGGACTGCTGAAAATTTAAGCACCAAACAGTTTGACTCGCAGGAGATGTTGGTTTTCACTGAAGAGATGAGTCCAGCCTGGCGCCCTCGTGAGGTATTGAACTTTCTCTAGGAAGCTCAGTGTAATGGAGTATCAAGGTGTCTAGTAACAACTCCACTGTCACCCATCAGGCTCCCTGCTCACTTCACAGCTTACATTAAATAAAAAAGGGGTAGCTGGTATAATGTAAAATACTACCCTGTTTCCCCCAAAATAAGACGTCCCCAGATAATAAGCCCAATCAGGCTTTTGAGCGCATATGCTAAAATAATTCCTCTCCCAAAAATAAGCCCTCTCCGAAAATATTACAACACAGCAGCAGCCATGAGGTGACCACGCTTGCCGCCTCCTGTACCTCAAAAATAATAAGACCTTCCCAAAAATAAGGCCAACAGCATATTTCGGGGGTCAAAAGAAAATAAGACCCTGTCTTATTTTCAGGGAAACACGGTAGCCTCCAGGAAAGACATAATTCCCAAAAGTTGCAATCCCCAAATGGGCCCTATAAGCTCAACCCATAATAATGCTGGATAGCTATGCTCCACTGCTTTATTTGGGAATATGATTCTTGTTCAGAAGAGGATAAAAATGAAGCAGGTTGATGGGGATTGTCTTGTGGTTGGCTAGGGGCTACCAAGTTAGCAAGTATAATTCTGATAAATCAATATTTTGCAAATAATTTCATTCCCAATAATACACCTTATAGGTAAGGGCTTCTACAACACAACCTTAAAATTCCAAATATGCCCACTGAACCCGAAAATGTTGGGGACTCCTGCCATTTTCCTAATTTTTTATATTTACTATTTCCGTATTTTTATCTATGTGTCCAAGTCCCCATTTTCCAATTTTTGTTTTCTGCCACTTGAGTTTGAT